GTTTGTCTTCTCTTTCGATTTGAATTAAATAGTTCTTTTATAATAAAAATACTATTTACTATACTATAATACAAAGGTATGACAAGAAGTGTGGACAAGAACAATACAAGTCATTAGCGAGTCAGTATTACAGAGAAACCCAAGGTGCTCTCATTGTGTATGACATAACGAACAGGGATTCCTTTGATTATCTTCAAGAATGGATCGATGATGTTTCGATGTATTGTCCCCAAGGTGTGAAAATAGTGTTAGTTGGGAATAAGGTTGATCTTGAGAATCAAGCGCGTGCGGTGACTTACGCTGAAGGTAAAAAGTTTGCTGATGAGGGTGGATATGACTTTTTCGAGACCTCTGCCAAATTGAATATCAAAGTAGAAGACGCTTTTCGAGGGTTGGTCACCAAGATCGTCCAGGCTGATCATTCGCACACGACAGAAGTCACCCAGAGTTCACAAGACCGAGTCAAAATAACTCAACAAAAAACACAAGAGGAAAAGAAAGGGTGTTGCTGATATCATTTTTATTGGTTTATTGGGGTTTGAAATTTTCATTTTCTAATGACAAGTTTGACTTTGGTTTGTCCGAATCTTTTTAATAGTGAATTCTAAGATTCTTCAAGAAAGGAATTGTTGTTGTTTTTTAGTCGAACACAACGAGCTTTTTTATCTCCCGATGAGTTAAAAAGTGCTAGGAATGCTGAACTTTTTCATTTGAAGTTGAATCTTTTCTATTAAAAGAAGTGAACGGAGAAGAGATGAACAAATTCTTATCAAATACATCAAATTCAATTAACAAAAAGATTCAAATTCAAAAAATGGTAAAAAAAGAAAGAAGATCAAAGAGAAGGCAAATCCGTGTCTTCTGTATAACTGGTTCCGTTTGTAGAAAAAAACATTTAAAAAATTCTCTGTAAGAAAAATGAGAGAATTACAACTCTGTAAACTGAGAAAGAGAGATGGCAAAGGTCAGTGCGGGTGGATCGCGTGCACAACAGGACACATTCATACAAAATGCCAAGAAAACTATTGTTCTTGTCGAGGAGATCAGAACGACTGAGAAGGAATTATTCAAAAAGGCAAAAAGGTGGGTTCAATCCATCCAATGTTTGTTATTGGTGGAGTGACTTTGTGGTATTAATTATAGCTTTTTTTTGACGACTAAATTTAACTTCAAATCTTTTATCTTACGCATTTTCATTATCACTTGAGAGTTGATATAACTAAGATTTTAAAATATACTAACAAACAGCTGCAGCTCATAACGGAATATCTCTTTATGAGGCTTTCAAAACAGTCAATAACAAATTTACAGACAGCGATGTGAGTAACGTCCAACGTGTCTGTGGTGCACTGTCACAGTGTGGCGACGTGATTGAGAACTTTGTGCAAATACTTGACCACCTCCAAATAGAGTTGGACAAAACCATATGTAATCCTCTTGCAGACTTGATTGAAGGAGAACTCACTCTTGCAGCTCCACACGTCGAAGCGACACCAAAAGGTGGCGCATCCCCTCCTAAATTGTCACAAACAATTGCAACCACACAACTTGCTATCAATCGATTTGAAATAGTTTCGTTGAACATCTTTTCTGATGTGTTGAAGACGTTTAGTGTCATGGACGAAGGTATGAAGACACTCAAACTCTACAAACAAAGCGGAGAACAAGTCAAAAAAGACTCTGAAAATTTGAGTGCCGCTTATGTTGAGTGTTGCAAGACCGATCCAACCCTTTACAGAAATTACTTTGGGATATCTTTGATTGATTTACTTAACGAGGAAAATCGGATGAACGTCCAAATTCCATGGGGTCTTGAAAAGGCATTGAAGTACTTATTTGACAAAGGGTTAGACAAAGAAGGACTTTTCAGACTGAGTTCTACATTAGAGAGAGTGAACTACATGAAAATAAAGTTTTTGGCAATTACTTACTCAAACGAAGATCCTTATTTAGTCGCAAATGTCGTTAAAACCTTTTTAAAAGAGATACCTGGGTGCTTGATACCCGAGAAAGCGATTTATACTTTTGAGAAGTGGGAAAGTTTGTTATTTATTGTATCTACTTGTTATGTATTAATGAAGACTCAAATACAGAGAAACTGAAAGAAATAACAAACAAAGACGGCAATATTGATCCAGAAAAAGAAGAGAAATTGTTGTCTACAATTAACATTGAGATGGTTGCGTCTATACCTATGGAGAATTATACATGTTTGAAATATATGATAGCATTATTGTACCATCTGTCGTTGAGTGAGAAGTCGAAAATGAATGCAAACACTATTGCGATATGTATTTCCCCATCAATGTTCTATTCTTATCCAAATATGCAAGGAAAAGACCTTCTGGATTTTAACATGCGAATGAACAACATCTTTGCTTTCATTTTAACACACACAAAAACCATTTTCCCTTCAGCAAAAAGATGTTTCTCACGTCGGCAGAAGAGTGTCTTTTACAAGCAAAAAGATGCAGAAGGCCAGTTATTATCATGTGCGTCATCATCTTCCCCACAATTTACTACTCCACAAAAAAGTCAACAAAAAGAAATGCGGCAGTCGACTCCAAACACTTTTGCTAAGATGCAGTCACAATTCCAAACCCAAGAACATAGTCCAGACACTTCACAGAATTCATTCATAGCGCGACACAGACAATCGACGATGCTGTCTAAACGGTCAAAACCAAATCAAGCGTTCCAAACCCCAATTCTATCATTGCGTAAAGAAAGCGAAGTCGAAGCGAGTTCCCTTGCAGATGCTCAAATCGTCCCCGAAGACAAAAGCAGTTCATCTGATACAAATGTGTTCGACAAAAAAGACGACAACATTATCAACTTCCTCTGAGGCAATTGTTAATTTTATTTTACTTCAATTTGACTGTTCTTTTCATGTTCGTTCGAGTGGACTTTTCAATAAGCCCAAAATATGAACTCAAAAAATGGAGTGAAAATTCTAATTAAAAATTAAAGCTCCTTCTTCTCGCTGTTTTTCATCATTCCAGAAATTGTCTCGTCGATGTCTTTCCACTCTTCAATGTTCATCAGCGCACTTTGGATTTTACTCATTGGGTGAATGGGGTTGTTACACAAATCAATGGTCTTCGCTCGACTTTTCACCCCCTTATTGCACCACGACTCACACCAGAGCCACTCTTGGGGAAGTGAAAGAATGGGAACTCTTCCTTGGACGTAGTTTGGTAAATCTTGGTCTAAATTGGCAAGGTTGTTGGGGTCTGGAGTCAAGTTATTGTAGATCTCTCGGTAGACCGTACCAACATCATCTCTCCTGAAATTGTCAAAATCAATAATAAAAAGTGCTGAGATGTGATAAGGTCTTCCATTCAATGCATTCTTCCAACTCTCTTGGTACCAGAACCTATAGCTCTCGGTCTCTTTGTTGAGCCACTCTCCAACACAGAACGGCGTCATTGCAATCGCGTAATTCTTCATATCATAACTCCACAACTCGAATGCGTCTGCACGTGTGACTTGATCTGAGTCCATGAAAATTATTCGGTGGATATTTTGTGGGAACATCAAATCATTAAAGAACATCTTGTACGCCCAAATTAGTCGCGTTTTGCTCACTTGTTTGAACATGAAATATGGCCAATGGAAACGGACGTAATTCAGTTTAACACCAATCTTCTCAGCGTATTCGGGCAACGTCTTTCTTCCACTTGGAGAGAGGAAGTCCTCAACAAGCCAAAACCTGAGTGGATGACTTGTTTTATGTTTCACAGAGTACATCAGAATCTTGACGGTCCTCTCATAGTCTGCACCACCTGCAATCGTGAAAATCTCAATTTGTTCGTCATTCTTCCCACCGAAGAATGACGAAAATGACGAGAATTTCGAGTTGACAGAATTCTGTGTTGGTTGTGCGACTCTTTCAGATGGAAGAAGTGGTTCTTTGAAAACTTCAAGTCTCAGTGGAGCAAATAAGAATGACGTTGTGTCGAATTTACTTTGTTTGATAACAAACTTTGAAACATCGGAGTTTTCCAGGTGTAAAGAGTATGACCCTGGTGGTGTTAAAAGTTGGAAATACCCTTCTTTACTCACAGCTCCTTGTACCGAATTGCCATAATCTCCTTTGGCTGTCAAATAGAAGTACTTCTTTTCATTTCCGTCGTATATCGAATTGGAGAAGAAACCCTCTGCTACAATGCCTCTTATTTTATATTCCACGTGCTCTGTTGTGTTCCTCAAAAACTTTATATTGTCGATGTCACATGTTGCTAATTCCAAAATCGTGTCAACGCACTGCGGCGTTTCGATCTTTAATTGGTAGTTTCTCCCTGACGGCAAGCCCTTGATTTCTAAATTCTCGTCGACTCGAACTCCGTTGCGAATGATCGGTTTTGTCAATGTTTTTGAAATGTAAAATTCAGAAGGGAAGTCACCTCCACGACCAGGTGTTTTAATAAAGTTAATATCAATGGAGACTTGATTCGGGAAGAGGTCTTCTATGATGCTCAAATACTCTGCAGCCTTTTGTGCTTCTCTCATAATTGGGTCGATAAATAATGTGACAGACAGTTTTCTTTCTCTTGCCATTTTAGATGTAACAACCATCGAATACATGTTATTAGTTGTTCTTTTGTTCTTCAAAGAATCTTTCAGTACCAAAGTGGTGGCTAGCTCCAATTTCTTTATGCCGACTTCTCGAAGAAGGTAATCATGAAGAGAATTGTACAACTTTTGGATGATCTTAATTTGTTCGTTTAAATGCTCTTTCCCCACTACCTTAATTCCATCGTACACAAAATCACAATTTTCATTGCGCACTTTTGAAGCACTGCTGTGTACCAAGTGGGCAGCTTCTTCATATCGTTTGTTCTTAAACAGTTCAATAAATTTCTGTTCATCCTTTTCATCAACCAAATTTGCTTGAATCAAATATTCATTGTTCAAATTTAAGTCACTCAATTTCTTAATCAAATTTATTTGATCAGTTTCAGTCTTTGCTTTACATACACTGATAACATGTTTCATCATTTTCAATTCTTCTTGTGACAGCGTCAAAGTGGTTTCCGTGGAGTCACCAAGACTACTCTCTTCCAACACAAGAAGCTTCTTGTCAAATGTATTGATCCAATCAAAGTGATACAACAGTTGTAAATAAATTGATCTATTCTCGTCCAGTTGTTTCGATGAGATCAAATTCTCGAGTTGTCGTAAATCCTTTTGATACACTTTCCCCATTTCCATGTAAATATTTTTCGGTGTGATGAACATACCGTTGATGAAGAAGGCACTACTGTCAAACCCGTTTTTATTCATATAAGAAACTTTGTTCTCCACTTTCTCGTCTTTCAAAATGTTCTCAAACTTCTCAGTAAATGTCGCAACTCTTCCTCTATAGAAGTTTTTAATCACATTCTCCATATCTTGTGCAGTCTTAATGTTTTGGTCTCCGAGTATTTCAACAAATCTCATCAACCCATCAGTCCCCCACTTTCTATTTACATCATAAAATGCAGTGAAGAGTAATTGCGCGCCTTGAGTTTCGGGCAATGACACGGGAACGACGCCAAAGTGGAACGGTATCATATATCGTAACATTATAGTGTTCACAATATTCAACTGTTTTAACGCCTTTTCCATACCATCATCACCAGAAAAGTCTAATGTCGCTACAAACGTGTACAAATCCTTAGCAGTGAATCGGAAAATTCTGTAAGGATTATACTGGAAGAACGACTCCAAGTTTTTAGGGTTTCTCTCGTAGATTCGATTCTCAAACGAATTCACAAAGGTGATGATGTCGCTTGGTATTTTGAACCTCATGACACCTTTGTTGTTGTAATACTGAACACTCTTTGTGTACATTTCTTGTGGAAGTTTTAAAAGCGCCAGGTCCCGTATTGCGGCATCTTCAGTGCGAAGAAGCTCAAGTAAGTCATACACACTCTTCGTACTCAATTCAAAGTCGATGTTGTTGATCGAAAGGCTTTGGTCCTGCATCATCCGCATCTCCGCAAAGTCATTCGCAATACCATCTGCATTTGTTTTCAATAAGTCGACAATTTCAAGTGGAAAATTTGCGATGATCTTCCTCAAGTTTTCTCCGACAAGTGTCGTATTGCTTTTTAATAACTTGACAACCGCGGCCCTCAACTTGTCTTGATCCCACTCCTTTAGATAGATATAGTCTTCTTTGTCTTGCACAATACCGAACTCTCTCTTGAATGACCTGTGCATCATCTCCGCAGTAAATCCAGTGAAATTCATGTTGTCGAGTGGTGTGACGATACCATCTTTTATCACTTCTGAAGTATTCATTCTATCAATCGTATGAATTTTAGAAGGCGACAAGTAGATAGCAACAGAGCCAACCTCCTTCTTTGACACTTTAGAATATGCCTCTTCAACTGTGTTTTTGATTTTGGAATCTGGAATAACAATCACAGCGTTCGGTAACGACTCATCGCTTTTAATCAAATAAAGCAGTTTACTCTCTAGTGGCGATTTTGCAGCAAAGTGTTTGTCTCCGACCAAAAGTCCATCAAGCGTCACATTCATGTTATCCGACGAAACAACAAAGAGCATTTCACTGTGAAGCGCCAATGACCTTTCCAATATATTCTTGTTAACGTACTTTGAAGCAATGGAAATGATTGTATCATATGCTGTCTGACCACTCTGCGAAAACACTTGACTGGCGATGATCTGGTCGAAAAAGTCTTTAAAGTGTGTTGGGGTCGTTTTGTGTACATATGAAATGACTTCATAAATTACAGGAACATCTTTCCATGGTGTCCGGACACTCACCTCGACCTTCGCTATTGTCCCCAAGAATAGTGCAGCGCACACAAGAAGGAACATAACTTCTGTTTCACAGTTCTTTCACTTTTTTGTGAATCTTTGGGACTCTCAATCGTCTTTAAACCATTTGAAAGTATAAATAAACTATATTTCTTTTCTATTAAAAAATAACCATTGTATAACATTTTGTCGTTTTTTTGCCATGAAAAAATGTTTTTCAAAGAACTTTAAAACATGTAGTATGGACTTGCAAACGTTTTGTGTTGAAATTCGCGACCGTATAGTTGGTAGTATAGAAGTATTGGTGTACGAAGGGTATACTGAAGTGGCCACATCGAGGGAGGGATTTCGATCTGAAAACACGGAAATAGTATTATCACAAGAGATGCGGTTTGACAACATAGAAAAGTTTGGAAGAGGAAAACACATCAGCACGACTGAAATATTTTTAACGGAAACTGTTGTAGTGTTAACATACAACAGATTGAAAGTACTAATATTCATGAAGCCCGACTCGAATATTGGATTGATCTATTCTCTCCTCCCTTCCATTTCTACCGTGTTTTCTTCAATTGATCTTTAAACGACTTTTTCATTCTTTTTCATTGCAAAATTTCATCTTTTTTCCTTTGCAATCTTAAAAAATCCAAAGGAAATGACCGACAAAGAACTCGATTCTTTAACAGAAAAACTGTTGGAAGAAGAAGACAAGCACCACCCGGAGCATCGCCTTTCAAACACCGCAAAGAGGACGTCTGCCAGTGAAAAGAAAGACACTAAAGAAGAAGAAAAAAAGAGAAAGAAAGAGACAATCAATTTTATTAAGTCATGTCAAAACCCTAGCGACTTATTCCCTTATTTCAGGTCGGAATTTGTCTTCTATGCAATTTCGCGATATGTCAGTATGAATGATAGCAGTAAGGACGGGAAAGTTATTAATGACATATGGAAGAATAACCCAAAAGGAATTCCAATGATATTGGACCACGCGTTATCCCTTGGCGGAGAGAATGCAGTGACCACGATATCCCATTTCTGTTGTTGCTCTTTATTGATCCCACCAGAAGTCCGCGACTCGTGCTTCTGCAAAATCGCGGAGTATCTGCGGAAGAATCCCGCTTACATCGCGGACCTCCGGAGATTCGGCGAGTTCAACAAGGCGTTGAGTGATCTTGTGGAGCACCCCAAGGAGTCCGACTGCTTCTTTGTATCATGTGGAGCAATAGTTCGTTGTGATATTACTCTTCTCTCTGAGTATGCTGAGTTCACTGAATTAGTGAAGAGTGTTATAGAAACCCCAACTAAAGGCAAATTAGTATTTTTAATGATGTTACTCAAGACTCCAAAAGGGGTTGAAGTATTATTAGATATATTAAAGGATGTGGGGTCAATTGGTTCAAAAATAAAGAAAGAGGAAGGCGTGGACAAAGCAATCGAGATTTTTGTCAAAGAATATGAGAAAGCCAAAACGAGTTATGACAAGTTAAAAGAAGAAAAGAAGATCGAACAAGAGGAAGATTCAAAAAGATTGGAAAAAGAAGTCATTGAGAAAGAATTTGAGAGGATTAACAAACCCAAAACGAGTGAAGAAGTCAAAAACAGCGATGAGTGTCTGATTGTGTAAGGTTCATATTTTTTCTGTTTTTTATTAATGAGAAATGGTTAAACTACTATAATTTGTATTATTTTGTTATGGTTTTTATAATGGTATATTATAATTCTTTGTATTATTCAACAAAAAGTGGAACAAACAACTATTTAAAAATAAAACAGTAAGAATAATACAATAACGATCATAAAATATTTTTTATCTATAAAAACCAATTTATCCTTTATTATATAATTTAGTTTTAAATATTATGAATTTGTTAATTGAATGTGTAAGCCAAATAAAAAAGTGTAAATAAACAAAATTATATAGTTATTGATATAGAATTACCAAAAGTAATGATACCAATGTTAAAACAGTTCCATATTGAAACTATAAAAAAAGAAAGTGGTATGATTCTAGTGATCTTAGTAGCAATAGTGAGTGTGTGTAAATCAGAGACAGTTTTTGTGAAAGCCCAAGAAGATGAGGTAACAAAACGTGTCTTACCCGGGATGATCTTTCTTCCTCTTTTCATATTAGTGACGATGTTGTTTATAATATTTAGGACTGCGTTCCAAGCGATCCGCGAAAGAAGAAAGCGCCCACTCAACTCGCAAGAGGTAGTCGAACAAATGACTTCATTTTAATTTTAGTTTAATTTTTGTTTTATATAACAAAATTACAATTTTTTAAATAAAACGGAAAAAAAGGGTTTTCAAACATTTTCCTGAAATGTGTCAGTAATTTGAGGAAATTTGGTTAAAAGACTCCAACTTGAAAAAATAGAATGAAACAGTCGGAACAAGTGGATGCTTATTGTCAAGACTTGTTTAAAATATCGCGACAATTGACTGGATTTGCGTCGAAAATATCAGAAGGCGATGATTATAGAGAAATGATGTCATATCAAGCTTTTAATACCGCGACTGAGAAAACCCTAAAACACACCACAGAGTGTTTACAAGAGATCATGACACTCCACCCGAAATTGAAAACTAAAATGACAGTGAACGAAAAGGTTCGACCAACAGATGATGACGTCGTCTCACATGTTGTCGACTTCTTGTTGGAAGTTGTTGAGCTTGAAGAGTTGGAAGGACAAATGAGAGGGAAAATCGATACATCAAAGTCAGTGACAAACAAACCACAAACGAAATTCACAGACAAACCTGATAACTTCGCAACGACATACACCCCAAAGTGTCTTAAAAAGTATCACTCGGATTATCCGGTGAACACAGTACCCCATCCGTATATCAACGAAATCAGAAATTTACAATTGAGCGAATGGCAAAAAGTGCCTTGCAACCCGCAAGCCCCACTTTCATTTGAAAACACGCCGCTGTTATTTGTACAAAATATGGACGAATTGAATCGATTAATCAAAACCCTAAACAACGTTGATCAATTTGCAGTCGATGTCGAACATCATAGCGAACATTCATATAATGGATTTGCATGTTTGATGCAAATCAGTACACGCTCTGAAGACTTTGTTGTTGATGTGATCACGTTGAGGGATTCTATTCATTTGTTGAACGAACCATTTACAAACCCTAAAATTGAGAAAGTGTTCCACGGGTGTGACTTCGATATGGTTTGGTTATCGTATAACTTTGGATTGTACGTAGTTAATAATTTTGACTCGGGACAAGCTGCTCGATGTCTTAAATTGCAACATTTTTCACTCAAATTCTTACTTGAAAAATATGTTGGTGTAGAGGCCGACAAAAAGTATCAATTAGCCGATTGGAGAATCCGTCCCCTCACGCAAGAAATGATCAATTACGCAAGAGGCGACACACATTACTTGTTGTATATTTGCGATTTGATGCGCAACGAGTGTTTGGAGCAAAATGTGTTGTATGAGGTGCAAGCCAAATCCAATGAACTGTGTTTGAGGCTGTTTAAGCCAACAATTTACAACGACGCGGCCGTCGAACGCATCGCGAAGAAGTCGTGGATCAAGAAGTCCCAATTTAAAGCGTTCAAAAAATTGTTTTTGTTGCGAGACAAAATTGCACGAGAGGAAGATGAGAGTCCGCACTCAATAATGTCACAAAGTGTTTTGAACTCCATATTGTCCGAAGTCCCAACAGACTTTGAAAAACTGAAGATGGCATGTTTACCAAAGATCCCATACTTCGTTGAAATGCACTCAATGGAGATCATTAACTTAATGAAAGAGGAAATGGCTGAGGTGAAAAAAGGAGCAGAGGAACAACTGAAGACACAAACAACAGTGAATGATAGTGTAAAATTTGTGGAGACTACACTGGAAGATGGGTATGAAAGAACAGTGATACGAAGTACAAAAGATTTCATTAGCTTGTTTGACTGATTCACTTGAGAATGGACACTAATTGACTGATTTTTGTGGGTCGAGTTGACGGACTTTTATAATAGTAAACAAATAATAAAAGAACTATAATTGGTTAGTAAAAAGTATGTACAGACGACATAACATTATACATATTTGATGAGAAGGATGAGAGCAATACCAACAAGTAAGACACAAAACGTAAAAGAAAGAGCACCACAAAGCGAATAGATAAGGCACTTTTTACTTTTTGTGTTCACCACTTCACCGTCGAAAGAAATGTCTCTTGCGCCATTACTCGCTGCACTCTCAAAAGGGTTTTCTTCGAGTCTCTCGTTCAATTGAATGTAAGAGTCTTTGCCACTTTTTGGTACTTTGGTTTCACTTTGTTCTGTCGAGTTTTGTTGAATCAGCGGGAGTTCCTCCGCGTTACCAGAAATATCGCCAGTTGGTCGCGGTGGAATCTTTTTTTCGATCCGTGAGACAAACCCAAGATAGCCAGTCACCTTTTGCGAATAGTTCAAATTTGTATCTTCTTCGATCAGTGATTCGGGAACCCGAGAGGCAATTTCTAAGTATCTGTTGAATTGGTCGAGTAGCGTTTTCAGCTTTTTCATGCGAAAGTCATAGATGGAAGAATTGTTCTGATCACTTGCTTCTATAACTTGAGTTAGTGTTATCTTTATCGAACTTTCCGTCTCTTCTAAGTTAGATAGAATTTCAAAAAGCTGCATCCACCAATGTATTCTCGACTTTCGAGTTTCAATTGTAAAACTAAAAATATAATAAAAGTACTAACATGTATCTAGTAAAATTAATTATTTGTAGAACTATGTTTATCTTATTAGATTTACTTGTTATTGTATTAATAAAACAATGTAATTGATATTATACTTTTTTTTGAAGGAAACCAAAATGAATTGATTAATTAATAAACAAAACAATGATAAAAGGTATAATAATTAATAGTAAAATACAAACAATAATTGATTGCCCTCTATTGTATTAATAAGAGCGCAAATTACACAATATAATCTGATTTTATTCCCTTTAAATTTCTTAGTATAATAAAAAAAATACTAAAAACAATAGTAAATAAACTATACAAATAGTATATGTTAGTATAAGTGGAGTCACATATTCTCTCTAAGTAAAGCCTCTGCAAGGTCATTTGTGTTATATATTTTGCATTGAAATGAATCGACGACTTTTTGGACGTGTTCATCAAAGCGGACTATCTTAGGAAGCTTCAGCTCGACTTCTTTACTACTTTCATTATTACCATCCATAGGACTTGTGTCCGTCTCGACTTCTATTACATTTGGTTGTGGTTCATAATTAGCTTGCTGTTTATCTGTAAAGTCGTCTTTCTCTTCGAGCAACTCTTCCCAGTCATTTTCTGTGTAATTCTTGTCGTTTTGCATATCACAGAATTGCATAGCGCTTTCTGCAGGGCTTTGACTCTTTGTTTCAACCCTTTTCCGTAAGAATCCGTCTCTAAAGAAAGAGTCAACCATCTCGGAGATCTCTTCGAAGTTGTTAGAACCAAGGTTGTTAATATGTTCGTGCATACATAACAGCCGTTTGTATGTCATGTTGCGACAGAGTGCGGTTTGACATTTAGTCATCGGTATCTCATTTTTCAGTTGCAAGGCATTTCCCTTAAAAAAAATTACTATTAACGAATTCAAAAATTAAAAAAAGCACTCTCCTTATACGCAATGCCTTACTTCTTTGGCTGCAATTTCTTCTTGATTCTCAAATCAGCAGCGTGTCCGCATTTTTTCTTTCTGCAAGTTGTTGCTCTGAGCGGGAGTCTCGCATAGCATCTTCTGCAAATCATTTTGTCGCAATTGTACTTCTTTGCAATCGCCTCAAGAGCTGGCTCAATTCCCATTTTACGAGTGCACTTCTCAGTTCCAGGGTTTTCTTCTTTTCAGTTTACTTAGCTCTCTATTAGTTCTTTGTATTAGTATGTATTTACTATTTATTATAATTATTATTTTTTTTATTTCTAATATGTTTTTTATAGTAAATTAATTTAAGTATCTAATTATTTGTCCCAAAAATTTAATGATCAACAATTCATTTAATTTATCAAATGTTTAAAATTGGGGCAAATAATAGCTTTGGTGTATTACATTCTCGTGTTTGTGTAAAACATTTAAATACATCAAAAATCTCAATATATTACGAAATTGTGTTGATCTGCTTTGAAATATATTTTGTGTCACTTTAATAATTATAGTAATATATAACTATAATACCTAAGTCCAACATTTGTAGTTTATTTGTCGTATTTTGTTATAATTATTACTATCCCTTTGTAACCCAAGTTTGATATTATATTTAATTGAATTTATAGAATTTGTCTTTGATAATAGTGTGCAACAAACAATTATCAAAAAGTCAAATATGATCAAATATCGATTGGGCACGAGTAACTGACAATTTCAACTTTCTGTTGCTTTCCTTTAAGAATGATTGTAGGTACCAATTTTTCGGCCGTGTTTACACAATCAAATGAATATTTCTCGTTGTTGTTGACGCAATACGTGAGCACGTTATTAATTGAATTTAAACTAATAGTAACCGAGTCACCAACCTCCACCTCCAATTTACTATTCAAACTCTCATATTTACCAAGAAAATCAACATGTACTTCACCTTTCGTATTCATAAAATATCCATCACGTCCTATCACTGGAGCTGTTGCAATACCACGACAATATCCAAACGACAAAAGAAGGTCATCCAAGAACTTTCCCTTATTTAGTACTTTCAAAGTGAATTCGCATATATTTGTATCTTCACCAAGACACACCCAAGCGATTCCATCCGACATCGACTCAACAACATTGTCAGTCACTTTGTAGTTCCCACCAGTCACTTTGACGTTTTCTAAAGTGTCAAAAGTGTTTTTAAAACAGTCCAATACATGCCAATTGACTTTGTAAAAGTCGAGTTCTTGTGCAACTTTAACTTTGTCGGAATCTTCAACTTTGAATGACTTGTTGCCAAGGAAGTCGCAGACGTAATGGAAGAGCTCTCCACTTCTAAATATATAGATTTTGTTATCTTCCATAAACTCTTCACATATCTCAAGAAGGAGAGGAGAACTTGGGACAAGCCGAGAGTTAATTGTAGTTGCCATATCCTCAAACACAATCGTAATTTCCTCAGTACTTTCCGATAGCTCTTTCGCACTTATCATGTCTTTCTCGATCTTTTTCTTCAACTCGGAATACTGCAAATTCTCCTCTTCGTCTTTGAGTCTTGTGTTGACCTCTTCGATCTCTTTCAAACACGTCTTTCCTTTTTCTCGAGGTCCTCCACTG